CTTCACATCTGAGAAGGTTATTAATTTGGGGCTTAGGCCATTAATGAGTTTTGCAGTGGTTCAACTGGTAAAATGTCAGACTAAAATCTACAGAACACCATTCTTCACTGTGTTTATATGAAAGGAGAAAAGGCTATTTGGAAATAAAACCACGAAAATGTACCCCTTCAAGGCACATTTATATTGTGGGGTGGAGAGAAGTGTAATTTTACTTTCAAGCTTTGTTACAAGTATGTGTGTTAATAATGCAGAGGCAGCAGTAGATAAATGTATTTACATGCAGGTGTTCATTAAACATAGTACACATTTGAACAATGAAAGAACAATTTCAGATTTACAGTCTTCCTGAATTTATAAATATATTGTAAATATTTCTCAAAACTTCCTGTTGCAGAACTGGGAAGAGGACTCAGTGGGGCTTAATAATGGATGGCTGGAACTCATTAATACGTTACTACAAAAATAACTTTTCTGATGGATTTAGACAAGTAAGCTAAGCTTTTAACTGTGGGGGAATGTTTGATAAACATGGCTGTGCATTTTAACTCTTGGTCTCCCTTTCTCTTGCAGGATGCAATTGATCTTTTTCTTGGAAATTATTCAGTGGATGAAGTAGAACCTGCTAGTCCTCTACATGTCAAGAAAGATTGGAAGTTCTTAGCTGTGAGTATGGAGACTTTATTCATGATTGGAGAAGCACATACCACCTTTTAGTCACTTGCTTCATATGACTAAGTAGAACATGTCTATTTAGTAATGAAGTGTCCCTATAATCTGGTTATGTTTCTATGATACCTGCTTATAGGACTAAACCCAGACTGTTCCCTTGACAGAAAATGGAGTGTCCTTGAGGTATTGAAAAAACTGCTGCTTTTTTTTTTAAATCTGCTTCATCAAGTGGAGAGGGAGAAATTCTACTAGTCACCATCATGACTTTCCTTCTGCAGAAGAAGCTTGTGAAGATCTCTTCTCATACTTCATGCAGAAGCATAGACTGTAACACAAAAAAAGCTTTTTTTTTTTCCCCTCCCCCTTCTCTTTTGTGAAATGGGATTTGGGGACACTACAGGTTTAACTAGTGGCTGGTGTATATTTTTTTTAAAACAAAACACCAATCTCTGAATAGATAGAAGGTGTATTTTAATTCTTAACCTAGTTATTGAACACACTTTCCCACATTTTGGAGCTATCCAAAATTTTATTTAAGCAACTTCATTGCAAAGCAAGTAAGTAGCTTTGCAGTATAGCCCATCTTAAAGGAAACTAAGGAATATATGTGCTGCTGTATCAAGTGATTATTCTTTTTCTCTTTCCCCAGTTGCCTATTATTATGGTGGTTGCTTTCTCCATGTGCATTATTTGTTTGCTAATGGCTGGTAAGTCAATATTGAGTTTAATTTCACAAAATGATCTTGCTTGGGTGTGGACTTTCAGTATATGGTTACCAGAAACTATTCAGTATAAAATTGCTTCTCAGTCATACTAAAAGGTATTTGAGCATGGCTCTGGAGACTGAGGGTCAGCACTATATCATTAACGTGGGAAAACCTGAGGTACTACAGAAAACAATGTTAAACCTTCTGTAGAAGTCACTTAAGGGCCAGTTAATTTCCCCCAAATTTAGTTGCACCTGAGTAGACATCTAGCTTTATTATAGGCTGAATGAATACCTACCTAATTTGGGGCAGAAAGACAGTTCAGAAAAGTCAGATCTAGGCATAAGCCTGTTCTGTTGGATGTCCCCCTAACCAAAATCTGTGGTGGGAGTTGCGAAGTTTTTGGCCACCTGCTTTTGCCTTGAATTTTCTAACATTAGTGCCAACAGAGTTCTTGACTCTGACTTCCATAGCCGTCTGTTCTAACTCTGTGGCCAACATAGTCTTCCTAGGTAAGAAAACAGAAAAAGAGAAGACCCCAGTACTCATGGAAGACTTCTAACTTCATTTGACAGCAGATCTCTGAGGGAGGGCTTGAAATATTTTGCTTTTGTACTAGAAAAACCTGTCTCTGGTAATTGGAGATAATGAATTAAAATGTGTATCTGAACCTTGACAGGTGATACGTGGACAGAGACACTGGCCTATGTGCTTTTCTGGGGAAGTGCAAGCTTTGGAACTTTCGCCATCATCCTTTACAATGGCAAGGATTTTGTAGATGCACCCAAGCTGGTCCAGAAAGAGAAGATGGACTGAATTTGTGTGTGTGGAAAGCGGCTTGGTACTGAGGATTCCTCAAGCCACACCTGGAGTCTCTACTGACCTGCTTTCCACACCAAATAGTGGTCGTCTTAACATTCTTCCTTAGAGGGGGGGGGGGGGGGGGAGAAAATTGTGTCCTTTGGTGGTGGTGGCTTTCAACTGAGAACTGACTTGACAGTCTTAGTTGCAGTGGTCTTTGGAATATTGCATTAGTGGAGGGGGCTTCACTCTTACTGGGATAATGCAAAGATGAAAGCCAGCTTTTTGGTGTCTGGTGTGTTTTAAGGCATATGTGGACTGCTTAAGCTTGTAGTCCACCTGGGCTGTTTCAGCTCAATTTTTGGTCTCTGGCTTGACAGGAGAGAGCTCTGATGCTGTTCATGTGTCAAAAACCCCAGGTGTTGAAGCATTGAACAAATAGCTTCATACCAATGAAAACTCTAGTTCTAAGACTTAGAGCTGGATTACATTTGTTGTGAGAAAGTCCATGTGAAGGAGTCTGTGCATATTTGTGTGTGGATTCTTTTCACTAAATATAAAAGATTTCTGAATCCTAATGCTCTTCTAAAATGAGCTTTTTGTCCTGTCTTGGTTTATCTAGGACTGATGCAATATTCTACTAATCATAGTTTGGGTGAAAGGACAGTGTAATTGGATGTTCCTGAAGTTGCAAATGTCTTGCACTGTTTCAATACTACCGTCTCCAGATGATGATTCATTAGTTAGCAAGTTAAAATGCAGAGTTTTCTTTCTAAAGATGTAAATGAAATCAAAGAATGTAAAAATCCTTTGCAGTGTTTATTGAACCTTCCTTATGCTAAAGGTCCAAAGTACTCTATTACTTTAGAATGGGTCACAATGTAAAAGGTGAACTTCATATTGTTTTGCTGGTCAGCTGCTTCTATTCTTGGTTATGTCAATAATTTATGAAAGAAGGAATAACAACCTGAGGAGAAGGTATTTAGTCTAAACTCCATGTTTGCACTTGGGAGCAGCAGCTTGCTTTTTATGCATGATACTGTAACACACTCTTAAAAAAAAAAAAAAAGAGGAAAAAAAAGCTACAGAATAATTTGTGCTGGTTAATAATAAATGTGTGTCTTTAAATTTAGTGCTTCCAAGCTGTATAAAAATAAGTAATCCTAATCAAGGACCAATTTTAAACTATTTTGTCACTTATTTTATATGGTTTGTTTAAAACCAGACATGGAACTTGCTTAAGGCGCTGTGCATTGTTTAATATTTCCTGTAAGTACAGCTGTATATTCAGATTGTGAGTATAAAATTTAAATGGGGGGAAGGGAGAAACATGTAGAATAAATACTAGGACTAGCACAGTTGTCACTATTGAAGCTAGAACACAACACACTGATACTCCAGTGTTTCCTTGTGTTATGACTGAAAATATGTACAGATTTTTGCAACTGTTTACTGTCTATTTTAACCTTGAATGTTTCTGGAGGCCTCTCTGGGTTTTGTGTAAACATAACCTGTTCATAAGCACTAGTACTTGCAAAGTATCTGTTTGCTTCTAGATGCTGTAATGGAAATACCAGTTGACGGTTAACTGGAAAATCCTCTAAAACTTAAAAGTTTTTTAAGGTGAACTCCATTATGGGCACAAAGTACAAGACCAGCGTAGACCCGATCTTTGAAAATTGTGGTTTGGATGGCTTGCTGGCAGGTGGCATTTGAAGCTTGGTTCGGTTGTCTTGCAGTCTAGAACTGAATCTTTGCATCTTGGGTGATGAACTTGTTGCAGCAAAGACCAAATGTGGATTGCTTGTAAGACCTAGAATAACATGGGTTTTAGAAGGTGGACAGCACCTGTATTTCAGTGCTTTGCAGAGAGTCTGTATTTCTAAAATCACAACTGGTGTACTCATAAATGACAATAAAACGTTCAACTTTTCTAGATACACTGTCTGGGTGCGTTTTGCGCTTCGGAGCAGACCGTTCCCTGTTCCTTACCCCCGTTTCTCCCCGGGAGGACGCTCGTTGCCTGAGCAGACCCTGCTCTTTCTGTGCAGAACTGCTGCTGGCCTCCCTCAGCCTCTGCCCTCCTTGCCACGGCCGGCTCTCCGCCCGAGCACGACTCCGGCCGGGTTTCCGCCACTCTTCGTCGGAGACGGCTTTCGTTAGCGCTGACCCTCGCTCCTTTGTAAAGAAACGGCCGCGGCCTTCCCTCTCCCTCAGGGCGGCCT